TTGCCGAGAGAGAAGAACATCATCTGAGAAAAGAAACCAAGGATAAGGAGGGCATAGAAAGAAGTGTACGGAATGTTGAAAGAAGGAATAGGGTTCAAGGAGTACCTACATGGACCAATGGATGCAGGGACAAAGCTGAAGGTCAAATTCAGGACGGGGGACATTGGCCTTCGAGAACGTAGCCGAAGAATTCGGAAGGTAGACGATGAAGACGCCAAGTTCAAATGTGATTGCGGTTCCGAGTGTGAAGACCGTGTCCATGTAGTTGCGGAATGTCGGCTGTACAAGAAGGAAAGGGAAGTGTGCATGACTGAGCTGGAAAAAGTAGAAGAAAAGTACAGTGAGATGTTTGAGGCATGTGATAGCCAGGATATGACGTTAGCTATACTGGGGCATAGGAAGTGGATGATAAAAGCGGGAAGTGATATCCGTAGGATAGATAGACTAGGGAAGGCATTTTTGAGCCACCTTTGGCAAAGTAGGAAGGAACGATTGCTCATCGGTGATCGGTTATGTGGGAACAATGCTCTGTCCTCTCGAGGACGCGTGGTCAACGGTCTAACAGCTAAGGCATGCAAAACATAAGAGTACCCCCCCCCCCTCAGTTCAAATTTGAAAGCGGCTCCGAGTGCGAGAGACCGGGTTCATGTGATAGCGGGATGTCCGTTGTACGGCGAAGAGAGAGGAATATACATATCTGAGCTGAGGAAGTAGAAGGAAGGTCCAGGGAGATAGGCATGAAAAAGCCAGGAGATGGTAGGTAGCTGTATTGGGGCATAGGTAGTGGGTTGAGAGGCGGGGAATGACGTCGATGGAAGAGATGAGCTAGGTAAAACGTTTTTGAGGCTCGTTTTGAAAAGTAGGAGAGAATAACTGGCCATATTCGAGCGATCCTGTGGGAACAATGCACCCTCCGTCCTCTCGAGGACGCGTGGTCAATGGTCAAAGCGCTATGGCATGAAAAACATGAGCACGCCCCTCCACGCGTACAAGCATGATTTTTCGAGGTGCCGCCCCACCCCTCCCGCCCCGCATATGAAACTAAGTGCCTATCTGCTGCCGCCATGTTGGCCCTGTTCTTATTTGTACGCGCATTGGTACACCACCAAGGCGGGTTCTTGTTCTTAATACCACGTCGGAACTGAGCACCTGTTCTTGTGGCCAAGTCTTAGGTTTTGGAGTTGTTCAAGTCTCAAGTTCCAAGCTCCTAATTGCTAAGTTCTTATGTGGTGGCGCATTCTGTAAAACCACACCCACCCACGGCCTACTGTAGGCCCCGGACGGCTGACGGCCCGACCATGCGCTTCCCAACCCCTATTTCCTCAATCTTCCGCTTGGTGGGGTTACAAGAGAAACACGGGGGTCGGTTCGATGGCCCGTACAATGTAGGGCGTTTTCTTTCATCGGCGCCGCCATCGCTGGTCGGTGTTTCGCGGCGGTGGTGGTCTACTATTTGACGCCGTTCAGCGTGGTACCGTTGGTATCCGAACAACCCTTACACGCGTCGGTGATTGGGCTGGCGGCGGCGTAGCCGGGCGCTCCTGACTTTTGCCCCGCCGGGGTTCTGGGCCGCGACAATCTCGCCAACGCGTCGCAGCCCCAAGATTTCGTGGTCGAAGGCACATCTTGTGAGAGGTACTCTTGGGTACCGCAGTTCGGAATGCCCAAGTCGTCGTCGCTGCGAACATGGCGCAGTCGTCGAGTGACAGGCACGTGCGATCGCGTCCGCACCATTCGGCCCGCCGACCGATCCAGCAACGGCGGTTGGCGTCGTCGCTAAGCGCTCGGAATGCGCATCGTCTGGACGGCGCAAGGTTGTCTTTAGGACCGGAGAAAGACGGTGCCCGACGTTGTGGTGGAGCCACATCTCGCATCACAGCGTCGCGATAAAAGACTTCCATGGGCTTCCGCGGACCGGGACGCCGGCACCCTGCGAGGTTCCAAACCGGAGTCGTTCATAATAAAGCTCAAGTTCGTATACTTGATATTCCGTACGATGTTGAGCATGAATTTTATTCGTAAGTGCGGGCGCTTCTTGTGCTGGATCAGCCCGCTCACGTGCCGTCATATTCTTACTCTATGTCCGCTCCACCTAAACGTGGCAATGCGTCGTGCGGTACGGCTGTCAAACTTGAACTCCTACTCCACCTAGACGCGGCAAAGCTGCGCAGTACTGCCGTCAAACTGCTCTTCCTTCTCTGCCTCAATCGCGGGACGCCGCGCGGCAATGCCGACAAACCCCATTGTTACTACAATAGAAAAAACTGGGGCCAGTTGAGGATATAATGTGTGTGTAGCATGGTATTAGAAATGGTATCGTGCGATTTATTGAAAGCAGAGAATGACGAGGTTTTATGTGTTTAGTTTTCTTCCTGACAGCCATGGTGAGACTAAGTTTCTCTGCCCGGAAAAAATGCGTCATCAACGTTATATCTGGACTCTCTTTGGGTAGCGGGTTTAGCCTGACCAGAAAACTTCCATGTCTTGGTTATGTCAGCGAATACCTGAGACATGCCAAGCTCAACGACGTTCAATATTGGTACATTCACCGTGCTGCAGACAGTACTCGAAGTCTTCCACAATGCAGACGAACTTTCAGAAGACTGATATTCTTTGTCTTGAGACTGCTGTTGTTGCGAAACTGCGGTTCCAAGTTAGTGATTCTCAACGTAGGATTTATTACCCTTGTCGTGACAGTAGCAAAGGCTGTTATACTATTTCGGGTTCTTCGCTCACGCGCGTAGAGGCATGATGTTACTCCGGGCTTTGAGTCACTGAAAATTGGTTCGACGATGTCGTGTGGACGATGTGTGGTGTCTCCAACGACAACACGTTAAATGCGCAGGCATATAAGGCGCATTTCAGTGCTACACTGTGACATCTGTGTACGACAGGTTAAACAGTTTTGACTTGCACTATTGAGTGCATACGATGAACACAAATAAACCAGAAACACGGGGGAAAAGAGAAACAAAAGTCCAAGATTGGGCCCTCTCGGGGTGGGGAGGTACGTACCTAGGTGTGCGGCGGGATAACGTTGTTCGCGCACCCTTAGCATATTTGGGGATGATGTTGAATGGTCCGACATGTAAGAGTAGGGTTCATGTCTAGCCGTGTTTTACCTGCATGATGGCATACTTCTGTTTTTTGTACGGAAAAAAAATGTGTGTTTATCCTGTGCAACCTTTGTCTTGGTATGATTTGTAGGCGGATGGATGGGTGGAATCGGAAACGTAACGAAGGCGACTTCCAGGATTGATCCGTGTGTTGGAAAATACAGTAGTGTGAAGAGTTTTATCAGATAGATAGGTTTAGTTGAACGGATTGCTTAATGCCTTGAGGCGTGCGGAGGATAGAAATATTTGGCGAGTGTCGTTGTGGCGAAGCGCCGAGAAAGGATAGGCCAGAAGAAGGAGAGCGTTTGGCAGAGAAGAAACAAGGTTTTGAGAGACGCTTTGGTGCACGAGTGTTTGCATTCTTAATGGTTTGATTTATTGTCGGTCTTGGAGAGAATACGAAATTCATTTATGTGTCTGTGGGATGAATTTAGATCGTTTGCCGTAGCATTGCGATGCATACGAGCAGGGGGGCTGTTTGATGTTGGTTGGATACGGTGCACGGATGCACTGAGATAGATTGTATTCGGTAGATTGTGGGAGAACAAGGGAGATTCTACTTTGATTCTTCGGAGATTCGATTAGTGATCGGAATTGCGCGACGGATTGATGTGGTTATGCACTTCTCTCCGGTGGTGGGGCTCCGGTTTCCACTGCCCTCGATTACAAGACCATCTCGACCCTCACTGGCCGAGCTGCCTTTCTCCGCAAACAAACCTACAAGCTTGAACTACCCGGTTTACACAACAATCGGTTTGGTGAATAATGATTTTGGTTGGACCGGATTCGAACCGGTTAACAGTTCAACCGGTCATGAAGCCCATCCTGACGAAGACAGTTTTCGGTTTCGTCGTTCTCTTCTTCCTGCAGCCGTCTGCAAAAGACGGATCCGAGTTGCGTGCTGTAGCGCTGTTCTCCACCTTCCTCTATTTTAGCTCTCACGACGAGAACATATACGACGCCCCCCCCCCCCCTCCCCTCAATAAGGGGACATGTTTTTGGCGGGAACCTCAGCGCTCCACCTCGTGGTCCACCAAGCCGCCCTCCCACTGCCCATCTTCTTCTACGCACGCTGTGTGGGCGAATCAGGACCTTTTTTCCAGACACAAAAAGTGGGTTCTTCAGCGAGAGCAGAGTGGTGTGGGAATGGGCGGTTGATGGGTTGTAAGGCTGGTGTTGCAGACCATACCAAACCCTCCACAATTAACTGCTGCCCCAAGGCATCTTCCTTTGTATATATGTAGTCGGCCGCCACAATTCAACCAAGTCATTGTGGAACAACGCTGATGGGCAAGATTGCCCAAGGTTGTTGATCATGCGTCGTAAGATACTGCTGGTACGTACCGCGTTTCTCAAGTCCATTAGTATTGCTGACATTGATCCACACACCTCAGAGGAAAACAGCTACGGAGGACGATTATTCTAATGCCAAGATTTGTCCGCGTGCGCGCTGTATACCGCAGACCATGGGATACAAGATATTGTACAATATGGTATCAAGGATTGGAGATGCCGATACGCCTCTACACAGTCTACAGACGAGCCAACGCGTCCTTCCACAATCCAAACGACACATATTCCGCCGCCACTGCATTCTCCCTGCATGCTCCTCGTTCCGTGGCACTACACAGCGCCTGTTTGGCACTCGGTGGCATGTTCAGACCTTCGTACGCACAACGTCCGGCAGGTTTCGGACGTGTGTGTGTGTTCAAGTTGGTGTTGTTGGTTCGCAAGCATTCTCTTGGCAATCGTGCCGAGGGGGTCTGCCAAGTATACTCATCATACCCGATGGAGGGTGTTGTTGGGGGGTCCGCAGAAACGAAGTCTAGCCCTTGGGCCGCTTGGCCGCGTCGTGCTGCGTGGCTCGGCAGTCGATCGTTCCTTCTCACACTGCACACTCTGCTTCTACAGCACAGCGCAAAGAGGACACCAGACGGAGAGGATGGCGTCCATGAGAGTAGTTGCTGGCTGTGCCCGGGCTTTGAGGAATCCCAGGGTGAGAGAGATCTTCTGCTGGTTTGGTGTTGAGTGTGCGGTCCTTTGCTTGCAGCTTCTTCCGCCGCCTTCCGCCGAGGTACCAGGTGTCTGCTGAACTACTGATTGTTGACTGCTACGTGGACAGAGCGCGAGTCCCCACGTCTGTCTCTCTTGCACTCTTCTTGGGAGAGACTAAGGGACGCTGTGCAACCGCAAGATGGGTTTTTGAAGTTCAACGGCAACCACTGTCATGTGTGTGTCTACTGAAGTGCTGCAAAGCTTCGTCGGGAAGTTTGGTGCAACCAAACGCTCTCTTTTCGCTCTCTGTTGTAACGGCGGGGAACGAAGCAGAGGAGCCAGGCAACATCCTTGTGCGCTGTAGCAGAAGAAAAAAATTGCGTTTGCCCTCTGTCAGCGTGAACCTCCGCTGCTGAAGCGATTTCCCGAAGATATTCCCTTCGGAGAATTGACAATTACAGACGATGCCCGATGCATGTTAGCTGAAGCAGCACCTACACTCCGCTCGAAGGTACTCGAGTTTATTGCGTTAGGGGCTGCACTGCTGTCGCTTCGCCTAGGAGATGGGTTATGCTAGAATTCATTCTCTTGCAATCAGCCAGCGGTACGGTTTCATGCGAGCAGGTAAACGTGATCCAAATCGTTGCCATGCGGTGTCCGGAGATCCCCGAGCATGCGCCCTTCCCTCTCGTTGTTGCTCACGAAACACAAGCAAAACACCCTGCGATAGTCTGCACCCATATAAAATACTCACTGACAAGACTTCAGCACAAGCCTTTCGACTGTGGTAATATCTTGAACGGGTAGTCTTTCTGTGTTTCTATGTATAATTTTCGAAGAAATGTTCAGTATAACAGTAGCCGGGAGCGTGACTACGTGGCCCAAGATTCAATGATGAGCAAGTACTTCGACGACCCTTGCCACTGCTGTGCGCTACTTCTGCCCATGAGTGCGTCGTGGGTGGCTTTAAGGGAGCACTATCTGCATGGACCCGTTGCCATCTCTGCAGGGTTAACGCCGCGGGATTGTGCGTCGGTTACAGGATTCTTGTCAAGCGGGCTTGATTTGGCTGATTTCGAGAATGACGGGGGGAACACAATCACACACGAGAAAGCAAGACCTCTCGATCAAAGATCCGGTGGTTGTCGCACAAGGCAGCGGTTGGGGCTTTGTCCTCAACGAGCGAATCGCGTACAGGGTTGAGCCTACCTTTACACGCCTTCTCTCAAACCAAGCAAAAATATTCAACAAGCGTAAGTTCAGACAAACAGGTGACACTGCTGCGGGCGCTGAAATATCTTCATTCCGGAGTCGTCCCGACTTGGACGTCTTCCCGAGGTGACATTTGATACCCCTCCCATTTGACCCATGTTTCAAAGCTCGATTGCTGCTCCACAGGGGACCGAGCGGCGGTGCCGAAAATGGTGGTTTTGAGAACCGTCTGGTCGAAATCTTTCCGAAAACCTCTCGTTTGATGCACACATCCTCTTTCGCCGTGGAGAACTCGAGCTTTACAGACTGGTCCAGGGGGTGTGGTATCTGACGTCATCTGTTGTAGATCATGGAGCAGCTACATTCTATGCACCCAAAATCACCCCCACCCCCTATGCCGCCGCCGTCGGACCATGTCGTCTCGCCGGCTGAAGGGTCTCGTCGCGAGAAACTCGCCCCTGCTGTCGGGGAAGCCGATCTCCGCGACGGGCGGTGCGGGGCAACAGGTGCGGAGGCTCAACGTGCACGAGTACGTGTCGATGCAGATCATGGCGGAGCACGACATCGACATCCCCGCCTCCAAGATGGCGGAAACCCCGGAAGATGCAGAGAAGGCGTGCGCGGAGATCATGGGGGGAAATGGTGGGTGATGGTGATGGTGATGGTGATGGTGTGAGTGGAGGGGGGGGGGTGATGTTTACGCAAGGTGTTGAGATGGTGCTGCCTGGGAGGTGTTGAATTTGGCGAGGGAGGGCAGGAGAGGGAGAGAGAGAGGGTGACACAGACAAAGACCGAGCAAGAGGGGCAGAGGCAAAGAGGGAGAGGGAGAAAGAGGGAGACAGACAGAGAGACAGAGACAGACAGGCAGCCAGACAGAGGGAGGGAGAGGAAGAGCGAGAGAGAACGAGGTATTAGTGCATGCGCAATAAGAATTTCGGCAACGTCGGACGTGGACGTTGAGTGACTGACTCGAAGCGAGAGAAGCGGAGACGGCGAAGGGGATGGAGGATAGAGCGATGGACACGGAACGGTAACGCTCTGCACACTCGTTCTCATTCTGCAGGTGATCTCCCCCCACAAACTAACCTGCCGTGTGTCATGCGTGCGCTCTTATGTGCGTGTGTGTCTCCTGTTTTTCTCCGCCTACTGTATCACGTTTCCGTCGGGTACAGCGATGAAGGACGTTGTGATAAAGGCTCAGGTGCTTAGCGGGGGGCGCGGTCGCGGACACTTCGACAACGGCTTTGAGAGCGGAGTGCATATGTGCCTCAAGTGAGTCCGCTGGGCGAGCTAAACGTGCCGCATTACCGGCTCCTAGAGCAGAGCCGATCGCTTCGTATGCCTGGGGACGGCTGGTTTGGAGGCTCGGCTGGTTTTGCGTAAATCCTTGCGGGTTTCTATAGAGCTGGGCATATCGTTGCGTTTAGTGGAGTGCTGTTCCTCTTATTTCTCTTTGCGAAAATATCGAATCCATCGCGTTGTCGGAGGCACTCACCTGTGTTTCGACAATTACCCGATCAGCGTGCATCGATACCTTCCCGGTGGACAATTTTCTCAACAAGACAGTTTGGTGACCATCTTGTGTATCCGACTGTATGTTATGCTGGGAAGGAAGACGTTGCGAGGAGGTTGGAGCGTTCTTGTGAAACCACCGAGTACCCTTTTCATGGCTAGATCATCGAGGTATCTTGCGTGCTGGCCGTCGCCATGAAGGCATGCCACGGAGGCATACCAGTGCGACACACGTTTATCGTTGCGAGCTGTCCGTTACTCGCCTTCTTTTGTTCGCTCGCGCATGCTTGCACAAATGCACACGTGTCACTCATATCATGACGAGTGCAGTTTTTTTTTCGTGACAATTTAGTAAGTCCTGCTTTTTTCCCGGTTCCTTCCCTTTCTTTCGGTGTTGAAGGCCCTCCGACGCAAAGCACTATGCGTCTGAAATGTTGGGACAGAAGCTCATCACCAAGCAGACGGGGGAGGACGGGCTTCCGTGCGACAAGGTACGCCGCACACCTCCGATATTGTACGCTGTGCTTGACCCCAAAGGGAAACTTCCTCGAATCCGGTTCTTTTCTCCAGGACTCCTTCGTGTCGGTGTCTCATCTTCGTGCGGCGTTTTCTAGCACTGCTGCGTATTTCGGGCTTGTTCCGAAAAAAATGACGAATTTCGCGGCGTTTAACCCCCTTACCACGCACAGAAAATTCGGCGGTCTTGCGAAATTTCTGAAATGTAAGAAAAAGAGCGAACGACGCCTGCTGATTGGATGGTGCAGACAGTTCCATCCCTGGGTGCAAGTGCAAAGCTGCCTTCCCACTTGAGCCGTCTCTTGTCTATAATCCCTATCAATTGTCCCCTCGATACGAGGGGACACGAGGGGACAATTGATAGGGATTATAGACAGCAACTGGCGGAAGCGTGGTAAACGGGGCACGAAAAGGAGGTTTTCAAGATATTTCCCTAGAGGGAAAGCGAGACCTTCTAACTCAAGCCCTAGGTTGCTTGGTGCCTCCTATCAACGGTGGTCTAGGTACTTCTTCCGCGCTTGCCCCTGGTAGTGCTTTCCACCCAAGGGTAAACAGACGCGGCGCAACTTCGCTGTTGAACCGGCGGCGTATTCGCCCCGCGATTCGACCTGTTCATTACCCTCATACTCCTCCACTCTACAAAGCATCCATACTAGACTAGAGTCGTCCCTGTGTACCCTGGCACCCCCCTGGTCGAGTAGTGCAAAGGAGGAGACAATCATGACAATCTTCGCGAGGTAAAGCAGGCGAAGAAGATGGGGACAAAAAGTGTCCCCAAAAGGCGATCCAGCCCTAAAGGGGTTAATCCGGCTGAGCAATAGCTCGCACCCTTCGGCCAGAGCGTCCCTCTTCGGCATCGTTTTCGATATCCAACTTGATTTGTACGTGCGCCGTTCCTCTTTTCGGCCTCAGGTGCTGCTGATGGAGCGCATGTACATGCGCCGGGAGATGTACCTGTCCATCATGATGGACCGCGGATCGCAGGTTAGGTTCGGTCTTGCGTTCGTCTTTCGCTGCAGACCGCCCTCCCTGTGTGCTTTGCCGCTCTTTTGTCTTTACTGCTGTGGCGGAAATTTCGTTGTGCCAGTCACTCCTGATGGTCCTGTTGTTTCTCGGAGACCTCGACATCGACATCGACTCTAGGGTTGTGGCGCGTTGTGTGGAATGATTTTTTGTGGTACGTTGTGTGGAATGCATGTCGTTGCCGGAGAGGGATATGACGTCACCATACAGCAGTGTCTCAATTTTTTCGCTCGGGTGCGAAATAGTATTGGCAAGAATGCCGGTCTTTCGCGTCCCTGTCGTCCACGTTTGTTCTTTCTTGGCTGTTTTTGCCCGTCTCGGGGCAACTGCTGAACGAAAAATGAAGTGCCTGTACCTCGCTTCCCGAACATTGCCCCGGTCTGTCGTTGAGGTCGCCCTTTGTCACCTTTGGCCGAGGAGTCGTGACCCTTTCGGCTGCCTTGTGTCCTGTCGGGTCTTGCCCTCCTTGTCTTGTGTGATTCTCGTGTCTTGGCTCGTCCATGCGCGCGCCGGCTTGCTGTTGGTGTCGGGCACTAGCGCTGGCATCGCCGAGCATGCCCTGACGTTGCGCCCCTCCCCCCACCTGTCCTGGCTTCGCGCGCTAAAAATGCACAGGGCCCCGTGATCGTGGCGTGCCCCGACGGTGGGACTTCGATCGAGGACTTGGCGGAATCGAACCCGGAGCTCATCATGAAGGTGCGGTTGAATACGGTCTCTGGAATACGGTGCGTTTCCGAATGCCCCTGGTCTGGAGTGCGATTTCGATTTTCGTTTTGGTTGTGTGTGACGCACGGCACGGTGTGGGTTTGGCTCGGTTCGCTGCGCCGTGTCGAACAAATTATGCTTTTCTCCTCGGTGTTCCGGGTTGTTGTTGGTGGTGCCCGCTGCAGCGACAGTGGAAGCAGGAGGAGGTGGAGGTGGAGAGGGCCGTTCTTCGTTGGAAACGCAGGCCTTCTTCTAGGTTTGATTCTGTGCTATAATATCATCCTCGTTTTAGCTCTTTGTGCCAGCCTGTTGTCACGAACACATGCTGGCTCGGAGGATGCCAACTCAACCCGGCCGAGATATCTGTTCATGGCATAGTTTTCCAAGGGGGAGTTGTCGGTGTTGGGTGTTGGTGTCATTGGTGTCATGACGCATGCTCTTGTCTTGCAGTGATCGCCGTCTTCTTTGTGTTCTCTCCCCTCGCAAAATAGATAAAAATGGCGTTCTCGTACCAAAGCACGGCCGGGTGGCTTTCACCGTTCCCAATGCCACAATTGACAGTGGCACTGGTCTCTATAAGTGTCGCGTATGCAGCCATTGTGTCTTGTTAACGTCATGCAATGTACGTCAGGGTGGCGACTCTTATTGCTGTCAATGAAGTCTCGCTGTCTCTTTTTTTTTGTTTCCGTGCCGTTTTTTTCTGTTTTTGCAAAAGTAGGCATCATGGCGCTTGTCGTAAACGTCCGACCTGCCGCCATGCCTCGTTTTTTTTTTATTTGTTTTCCACCACATTTTTTTTTCTTCTTGCAGGAAGAGGTGGACATCATGACGGGGCTCACCGACGCACAGGCGGGAAAGATCGCGGAGCACCTCAAGCTGTCTTCGGACGGTCCGTCCTATGAGGCGGTACGTACCGTTTCAGCCCACCACCGCCCCGTGTTGGATAATCTCGCCGCTCCCCCGTTTTTTGCTATGTTTATGGCCACAAGCTAGACAGCAAGATAGGGATGTTAGTAGGGTTTCGGCTTCCCACGCCTTGTGCTTTTTTCATCGTAATGCTGGACGTAGCTCGATTGATACTACGGTTCCTCTCACTGCTTGGGGGTAGCTTTGGCGTAACTCGTCGTCCTCCAACTAGCGATTGTCGTGGCATGTCGTGGGCGGCCAGCGGGCGTTTGCGTGTGTAACATGAACCTTCCCTTCCCACTTCTCTTGCTGTTGTACCGGTACCTGGTGGCGCAAATCGCGTGCAGGGCAAGACGCTCCTGAAGAACATGTACGCGATGTTCATCGAGAGAGACTGCACCCTTGTCGAGATCAACCCTCTCGCTGAGACCCCGGAGGGAAGAGGTATGCGAGCGACAGAGAGAGGGTACTCATGTCCTGCATGACGTAGATGTTGAAGCATTAACCTCGCGTCCTCGAGAGGACGGAGGTGGGGGGGCTTTCGGAACCCCTGGGTACTGTTGAAGGGCCCACTCGAAACCGACAATTTCGATACTTCGACCATGTGGTGTTGATATTGTTTTTCGCCTCGGTCGAGCTTTGATATTTGCTGGTACTCGCATTTTCGGACTCGAAATGGAAGCTGGGTTAGTCATTTTGGCTTTTGTAGCAGTCGGGGGTTCCATTCCTACCAGCACCGTTGGTTGTGGGCAACGTTGCGGTTTGATCCCCAACCCGAGGAGGGTTTTGATAGTCGTCTGCCAGGATGCAACACATTGTTCCCCGTTGTATCGTGAAGAGTTCTATTCTAGGGTTCCGGACATTTCGCGTTAAATTCTCGCACGGGGCGAAGTAGGAAGCAAGTGATGCATTCGTTTTTGTCTTCGACTGTAGGTGTTTGTCTTCCAATGTCTTAGTTTCGTGTTCTCGTGTGGGTGTTGGTCTTGAACATTTGTGCCCGTGGCGATGGCGTCGCAAGCCAAGACACAGATAAACGTCAACTTAGGCTGCATTCGCCTTTTTTTTTCTTCTTGTTACCATGGTTTAAGATTTGTGCCTTATTTCGTGGATGCGCAGTGATGGCGTGCGACGCCAAGCTCAACTTCGACGACAATGCGGAGTGGCGGCAGAAGGACACCTTCCAGTTCAGGGATTACACCCAGGAGGACACACGCGAGGTAAGAATAACAGAATACCATCTTGTCTTCACTAAACAAGACACCCACGTATTTTGTTTTGCGAGGTCGATGGTCTAACGACTACGGCATGCACGACCATGAGTACACCCTCCCCCTCAACCTTTATTTCTACTAAGCAGCAGTAGAGGTTCCTATTTGGTGCCGGTATGTGTCCGGAAAATTCACCGGGACTGTATACCGGACCGGCACTAATAAAAATATTGAGGATGACGTGGGAATTCAGTGTGTACCCGCAGAAAACACCACACCATGCCGGGCACCAGGACTGTTCAACCGGCTCTAAACAGGGACGTCTGCCGCATTGGGTTTGCTGTTGTCGATGAGGTATGTGAGTTGGAGTTACCGCGTGTTCCTCACGCCCCCATGCCTCCGAACGGCCTCTTCGTCCTTCTTCTTGTTTGTTGTTCTCTGTCATGTATTGTTTTTGCCAGGTAGAGGCGGCCAAGTACGACCTGAACTACATTGGGCTCACTGGAAACATCGGCTGCATGGGTGAGATAACAACGCATCGAAGAAACGTGTAACGCGTGCATGGCAACTTTGAACCAGGCGGGGGCTGAAAATCGCCTGCTTGGGTGATGACAGAGTCGCATATGTACCGGTTTGTTTCCATGTGTGTATTCCGTCACCAACTAGTATCTTGGTACCGTGTGGAAATGTTGATACGTTGCGTTTAAGAATTCTCGGTGGAAAGAATCGGCTACGTCCCTGTATTTTGCCGGTCGCCCTGGAAGGCCGGTGAAATGGCGTGACACGGATGGAGTTTCAAGTTGTGTCATATGCATACCCTGAACAGGGCTGGGTGCCCGGCACATGGGCGGCCAACATTACACACGGAGTACTGCTGGGCACGGGGATCTATCCACCACGACATGCCCGATTACCTCCAGTTGTCGGCCGAAGCTATGTAGATGTGTGAGATACCCTCACGATAAACCTGAGAAAATCATTCTACTGCTTGAAACAACCGCGACCAGCAAATCATTCTACTGCTTGAAACAACTGCGACCAGCCGAACGAAATATCGACATTTACTCGAGTCTCAATGGACGGAATAGCGCACGGAACACTACAGGCTACAGCAGCGGCGGCGGAATCACGCTTTCGAGGCGAAGACCACCACAACACCCGCAACATCCGAGAAAACGTTTTAAACGTTGACGGACTACAACCCAGCAAAACGAGTAACACCAACAATTGATACATGGAGCGCTATCTGTTTTTTTTTCATACACCGGACGCCTCCGTTGCAAAAAATAACTCCCCCCTTTTGACCGTCCCGCGATCTTCCCGGTCACGCGGCGCTTGGCGCGCACGCTTTCAGTCAACGGCGCCGGTCTGGCGATGTCGACCATGGATATCATCAAGCTCAAGGGCGGTGACCCGGCTAACTTCCTCGACGTGGGAGGCGGTGCCACGGAAGAGCAGGTCCAGAAGGCGTTCGAGCTGCTCAATGCCGACCCCAAGGTATGTATGCACCCCCAAAACGCTAACCCTAAGGTATTTTCGCTTGTCTATCTATGTCGACGTCTATAAGTCAATGCCTACGCCTAAGCCTGAGGCAATATCCGCCACACATTGCCGGGGCGTGACTTATCTAGTAACTCGAACCCTAAGGTAATACGCTACTGCCTCAGAAGCTTGTACGTTGTGCTTTGTTCACATTCTGTTTTACGTTGTTTCCATAGCACGGTGTGTATTTGCTTTGTTGTTTTACATCATCGCTAGGCGTCGACCCCAACAAATCCTAGCCCTAGCCCTAATCCCAATCCACAGCCAAGCGCGGCCTCGCAGCGGGTTCTGCCAAGTGGCAAAACAGATATCGAGATATGTATCAAATGGCTTGATTCGTTTCTGTTTTCATCTGTCCTGGTAGGGGTGGCAACAGAGGCCATAGAGGGCTCCGAATGCGCAGCTTCTGTAAACGTAGCCCTCAGATATCCCGGTCATCGCTCTAATGCTTGGGTGTAACTTTGTTATCCCTGACCCTTTGATACTAGTCTCTCTAACTGGAGTGTAAATTCTCTATACCTAATGCTGGGTGTATTTTTTTTTTTTTTCTCTGTAACCGTAACCCTATTCCATTCCGCTAGTCTTTCTAGCTGGGGTGTAAATTCTCTATCCCTATAACAACCCTAGCAACCCTAACCCCCAACCCTAACCCTAAGGTGGCAACAATATTGGTGAACATCTTCGGGGGCATCATGAGGTGTGACGTCATCGCGTCGGGGGTGATCAACGCTGCCAAGTCGATCGGGATGAAGAAGCCCATCGTCATCCGCCTGCAGGGCACGAACGTCGAGCAGGCCAACGAGCTCATCGCGAACAGGTCAGTCGCCGCTGGTGGTGGTGTGTGTGTGACGATGTTTGTTTGATTTTGTTTTTCCTCCGCGTGATTTCTGACCATGACCATGTGGTTGATGTTTTCGTGTTTTTTTTTGCGTCTGTGGCCCACCCGCCAGTTTCTTATCCATGTCTGGATCTTGGTTGCCTTTCACAGTGCATTTTACTTTTCAGCGAATTTTTGTTCGCACGCCGTAGTTAGGGGTGTTCGTTGTCACCTCAGCGGCTTCCTCTGACCCTGGTTGACCCAGCCGTAGTTGGTGCATACCCGAATCATGCGTCTGCTCACATCCGCATCTCCTCCTGTCGACTCGAACGGGGTCCAGCTGATTAACCGCCCCCCCCCTTCGCCTATCCCGTTACAAGTACTTTGCAACTGTTTTGCCTAACCCTATGTATTTGTCCGATATGTTGTGTTCGGTTTCGATTCCATCCGCTTCAAGATGATGTACGACACTTCTCTGTGTTCTAGACGTGTCGTTTTTCATTTTGGTGTTGTCGAATTTTACTTTTTTTAGTTTCGACTCGTCCTTCAACAACAAAAAACAAAATAAAAGACTTGTATTAAAATTGATGATGGGTTTTCTGAAATCTTTCATTTACTTATGCAACTGGATCGCTTTTTGGATTTTCAGCGGTTTCAAGATGATAATCTCGAACGACCTGGATGACGCCGCGGAGAAGGCCGTCGCTGTTGCGGAGATCTACAGCCAAGCTACCAAGGTGACGAAACAGCACGGAGATTCGAGTGGTGAAGTCGGTTATAGGTTAGGGTTAGGGCTGGGAGGTCTGCGGCCAAGCTACGCATACCAAAGTGCCGCCAAATCGGCATGGCGATCGAGTGGTGCTTTCGGGCGATAACTCAGAAAGTTCCGGCCATGGGACGGACGGGTTGAAAACTCGAAGGGTACGTAGTGTTGTAGGCTTGGTCGGATGACGCGATTGGTTGGAACTTCCAAGGCCGCCCGGACATACAACCGGGCCACCAAGGATAGTTTCACGCATGCGACTGCGGTCGAGCTCTACGGGACGAAGTCTCTCGTAACTGAATTTCCTCTGTGCGGTTCTACGTCGTGTGTTTTGTGTGATTCCGTTTGGTGTTGCGATTTTTGGGATTCAAACGTATTTTACATATACCAACGCACACACCTACCCCGCCCTTGCCTCCATTTTATGTGAGAAGCAGCATGCTAGATGTGCCCTCGTCATACATGGTAGGCAAGTGAACCCGCCCTCATCCACCTCCGCCCCTATTGCTTCCGCTGATGGCGTCACTTTTCTGCGTGTGTTTTGTCCATGTTCTTTGCGCACCAGGTCGGGATTGACGTTGAGCTCCAGACGGCAAGCGCGTAAGCCGGTCGTACCATGTTGTGACTTACGTTGCTGAGGTCGACTCCCTCGACGAAAAGACAAACTCGACAGGACGATGTCGGTACAGGTGTTTAGGGTGGAGGTTTTGTGAGAACACTGCTTATTTTAGAGGGTTCAGCAACAGTAAGCGTGGAGCAATGAACTACTCTGGCCGCTGGTTTGCGTGGCCTAGATGTTGTTGGCATCCGCTGTATCGAAAAATGATGCTTCGTCATTCGGAAGCTCATCCGCATGTGTCCGGTTGTATTTGGTTTCGGTCTCCGTGCAGGATGGGCGGGCAATTTTGCGTAGGCGCGCTTTGTCGCAGTAGTAGAGGGCTCATACATCCTCGGTGAACTTTTTTGTGTTTGGTTTTGGAGCGGTTTCGCCGGTGGAAGAAACCTCATTATTTCCAACCAGATCTCTTCCAGAGTTGTTTGCGGTCTAGAGCGCATAAATGTTTATTCCGGTGGTTTCCACGCGTGGCCTGCAGTGGATCTTCCCCCTTGTCCACCTTGGGCGGAAGCAGCGCAACTCCGTGCGAGCAAGGAATTCTTGGTTTTTTGTTTTTTCTTCCCCCGTGGAGGCCGATGGGGAATCAAAAAGAGACGGCATCAAGCAAGGACTCGTCCGGGTTGATCGCGGACGTCCGTCTGGTGCTCGAGGATGCTCTTGCCATTTTGGTGCGTTTCAGGAGTTCGTTGTCGGCGTACAGCGGAAAGTCGATGATTGCGACCACGAACATGGAACGGATAGAACTTGGCTGGTGTCGCATAGGCAAGTAAACACTCCTACGCTGATTCTCTAGACTACGGGTTCGAATACCTCTCCAGTTTCTCCATCGAGAGGAAGACAACGCGTCGGAGTCGAGAGTGAACACGACAAAGGGGAAGGGATTGCCGGACACTTCTCGCGTCCAAACGTGTAGGTAGGCGGCCACCGCAGTGGGAAAGGCGGAGCAACAGTGACGCAGTGGGAAGGGCGGTGAAACAAAACAGTGCTGGTTTTTCCTTTGTCCTGTTTGACGCGCCTGTGTACCTTCATCGTGGTTGACCCCGGCTGGTTTGTTAAACAGTGACTTTGGCCGTTGTGTCAAACATGTACCGAAACGTGTTGACTGCCTAAATGCGACAAGAACAGAAACACAGCATTGCTGTGTGACCCCGCCTGATGCGTCAGACGTTGACCATACCGAAAGGAGTAGACTTCGCCCAGAACAGATCGGGCGAAACAGCAAAAAACAACGCGTCACATCTACTTGAGGTCGTGCAAAGTTAAGGACGCCTCGACAGCTTCGGCCATGGATACAAGGAACCCCCACGGTCTCTGAGGTATACTTCGTGTTTGTGTTCAGTCTAAGAGTTCCACTTCCAATCGGACCACGCCAATAGCCACATCACAACACTTTGGCGAAATTTTTCGGGATTAACCCTCACGTGACTGGGTTAATTTGAATAAGTTCATGTGTTTTCCTCACAACTGGCTCTCCGTGGTCCAAGATCTTCCACATTGTACGGGCAAAGCACTAAAGGATTTACCAAGTGGTTGAACAGCAGCATCACACAACTTGTCCATCCAACGAAGTTCGATCGGTTTTGGGTTCTCTCTGGGCACTCACTGGACAATTGGACAGGCTTTGAACGTTTGGACCTCTTCCTTCCATCGTCTTTCGACCCTCGATGCATAAACATATATGCATACATTCTTGCTGTAGGACGGAAACACTGGACTGTCCACGAATAACGCCTCTTTATATTTTTTCGTTTCTAGGTTGTTGGGGCCGACTTAAAACGGTGTTGGTGCCGGCAAGTGCCGGGGTACCGGAGCCCCACACGAAATGGTACCCAGGGCAAAGGCTGATTGCTGCATAAACCGACAGGTTGGTGGTAGCAGTTGCCTGCTGCGCACGCACCACGTAAGAACTCTACTCATCGTGGTGCAAAAGAGACCGAAGGTAGCATACTTGCTTGTAGACCCTCTGCTTGGATACATATCTGCACTGCTGTAGCTACAGCAGAGCAGCCGTTCCTGTAACACCTCTAGTGCCACGTAGTAGTTGGACCCCCTCCATACAGAGAGACAACTTGAATACTACATTTGTGTCATGCAAGTCTCGTCCAGATCGGTGTGTGTGTGTGTGTTGTCAGATGGATGAATAGACACTCGGCTGCATTTATTTGGAGCAGGGATCAGGCGAAGAACGGGGCGCCTTTAATGATTTCCACTTGTATTGCTGCCGCCGCTTGCTCCGTTCGTTGCTACAGTAGTAATTTGAATTATCTAGCGAGGCCTCCAACTATCAAAAGCCACCAGCACGCCGCAGGCACACCAGTAGGAGGTTCAAACTATTACCAATCACCTCTCGCCGCAAAACCATGTACCACTCGCCAAGATATCACGGAAGATTTCACGGAGGGGCATGCTCGAGAGAACGATGGTGGTGCCGAGGAGTATGTTCGGGCCCACACCAACGGGGTAATTCCAATATTACGTATATGGTCGGGTTCGGGCGGTCATCCTCACATCAGACAAAGCACGTCTAGCGATGTACTACAACATGTACTTGAAAAATACAGACATTGCTCACCATCATCATTCCACACACACAAGGGTCACTCAATGCGTGAAACTGGAATCATGTTATATATATACTTACAGGATGGTCGTCGTGACGTGACACATTTCTTGTTATTAGTATGGAAAAAAATAAAAAAAAATGGCTCGATTTTGAATTTCTACAGCAGTATGGACCAGACGCCGACTTTACATGGAAGTCGTACGAGTGTCGACTTAGTTGTGCTGCCACAGCATCTTCCACGCAAATCTGCCAGTGCTGGTTTGTTGATTGGAGTCTTGTAGGTCGAGATACAGCAGTGGGATTCTCGTGTTGTGGAGGCAAAAGTGAACCAGAGCAAGAAATTTCATGCATAGCTCGATTACTGCTGCTGTGTTTTTGCTACAGCAATATGGACTAGACGCCGAACGACGTCCGCGTGCTACAAGTACCGCAACGACCTAACGGGATGGGATACTTCTTGCCACGGCGAACCATAGTACAATGCGATGCAAACATCCGTTCGTGTATCGCGCGGCTGCCACATGTGTCGACGACAGGTACACGTAGAGCTCTCGCCATGTTGTCGTTACCGCGCAGGAGGACGCCTCGGAGATGTTCCACATGCATGCTACAACGACAGCAGTACTACTGTACATAGATGTCGTAGGAGAGTGGAGTTGTGATGTCACGGCATCTCCCACGCACTCTCCTACCGGTGCTTGTGTCGATTGGAGTCTTGTAGGCCGAAATACAAGAGTGGGTTGGACTCCCGGGTTGTGGAAGCAAACCTGCAACAACAGAGAAGGCGGTGTTCTATTTACTATAATAGAGTAATTCCGCTCAACTTTTTTTTTTTTCGCGGCATGTGGTCGCATATTTCTTTGCCACTGCCGAAAAAGACCGCTGGATCTTTACGCAGTCCACCTTTTGCATTTATCATTGTACACTGAACGACGCAGGACGGGTCGACCTTCATCGTTGTTGTTGTTGCTGTTGTCTCCACATTAAAAACCGTTCCGACGACCTCCTCGATACTTGTGGACTACCTGTCGGAAATTGTGGGAATCCCTTCATTCTGAGAGAGAGAGCCATAGGTCGCCATCCGGCCTTTTCTTTTTTTGTATGCACTTTTCTTCTTGTGAAGTCTTGACGTTGCGCTTGCCATCGTCGCCGCGGAAGTGTTTGTGTCTTCAAAACTTCTCAGCCGGCCTTCAAACTTCTTGTTGATAAGTCTCCGTGTGGTAACTTCTCCGCGCATGAGTCATTTGCAGCTATGACCTGCGCTTTGACTTTCACGATGGGTATTTAACCTCCCCGTCTTGCGTTGGTGAGTACCTGCGATACACAGAAGGATCGCTCCACGACGCAAACGTCGACGTCTCCGTTTTTTTTTTGTTCCCTTCGCACTCCATCCTTGCCGCGGTTTTCACACCGACTTCGAACGTGGGGTGCAATTTCCTCTCTTCGTACCTTCCTCGTCGGCCTTCTCCGTCGTTGTGTACATAATGTACAATACCTCCATTTTTCGGCTTTTCGATTCCGATAGACAAGACTACGGACTGACATGTTCCTTTCATCCCCGACAGGACCGCGCGCTCGTCGAGTGCCGAAATTCTTCATCACTTCCTTGCCTCTCCCAACACCGTCCCTTCTTCCCGCCCTTACAAATCCTCTCCCCTTCTTCTTCTTCTTCCCTTCCTCCCGGACACTCACCACCATCCGTTCTGGATGTTGGCCCACAGCCCCATTGGGGGGCGGGGGGCCAATCCTTAACCCTAGTACTGTATATGTACTGACTCAACGAGTTGCCCCTTAGTCTGGCACATGCTCAACTCCGTCAACCAAACACCGTCTTGTGATGTTACGAAAAAAAAAATGAAAGTTGTTGTTGAAGACCGAATAAACTGTACAGTAGTAGTTTTTTGTGCACGGAAGAATTGGAACATCTCCCAGATCTACGAATTGAATGTGTTTGGGTTCTTGTTGTGCCGCCCTGGAGGCAGGCGTGTTGGCTCGGAATGTCTTGGTTCGGTGTTCTGGGGTCCCAAAAACGAGAAAGGTCTCAAGGAGTTCTCATTCTGCTGCCTCGTTGCTCCTGAAACAAGAATTTGATAGACGCTTGTCCACTGGACCGAAGGGCCACGTGTTGAGGAACACGAACATAGGAGGGCAGCAGCCCGCTTGGAGGTTCACGCGGCATATGAATAGGAGGGCAGCAGCTCGCTACATCGAATATTCGGACTATAGTAGCAAGAAAACATTCATTCGTGGTTTTCTCCCGGCCACCTACCCCCTTTACTTCGAACTTGGGTGATAGGAGAGAACGTTGCGAGTGAGGGCTCACTGAGGACAGGCCTCTAGATATTTCTGTGACTCGGGGTTAGAGCCACCTTTGTTCCTGAAGTAGAGGTGTTCGGCGTAGCATGGGGGGGGTGTTTTCTGAATGTAGTGTGTACCATTGGGAGGCTCGATTTCCCGAGACTGCTACTGTACGACAGTTTCGTCAAGTCTGTCTGGTGGTATTCGGAGGGAGATATTGTGTTTCGTACCAGAGACAGACGCGTTAGGACACCACGGAGGCTTTGTGCTGTGCGGAACGTGCGGTACGGGGGAAGTCTCCTTCCGTTGGCCACAGAAAATACTTATCAAGGCAATTCGAAAGAAACCAAGAAAACGGTTTGTATGCAACGCTCATCATGAACAATGAGGAGTCTAACAGAGAAGGACGGACTCCACTCAATGCACTCCATATCGCCGCTTCATGGGAACGCCTAAATCATCCGAAGACAGACAAGACGGTGCGCTTAATTTGTCGCCTGTAGCACGATGCCTCCCGCAACGGTGGCTGATACAATTACGAACAACCAACCGAAGCGAAAAGGAGAGCTCGAGAGTTGCATCGGGGCAAAGAACACCGATCGCTTGAGACAGTCTTCGTGAAATGGGCCCACGCACCCGCTGGTAGTGCCTTGTACCTAATCGATGTCCGGTCGACTTTTGATGCCCAAATTCACGAAGACGACCTTAGCGAGACGCAGCTGTGTTTCCGTTCCACTTTCGAGTGCAAATCGTACTCTGTTCTTCTGTACACGAATGGCACGTATGTCACATGCACCCTCAACCTCCCCCTCTCTCTCTCTCTCTCGCTTTCTTTCTCGTTCTCTTTCCCGCTCTCGCGACTTGTCGACCCCGCCTCGCTGCTTTTTTAGGAGAATCAGCATCTGCGCCAAATGTGCACAGCCCCTACTATGGCAACTTCCCGGGCCAAAACCGACACCGACCACATGGCGAGAAAGGGCTATCTTCCTTCCTCTTGTGCCAAATGCTTCAAATACAACAGAACCACACGCATTTGTCGCCACATTGCGGGTTTTGGGCTATGGACACCAGAACACGCTTGAGATCTACACCTATTCGCGATTCGTTCTCAGGGACAAACAAAATACTTCCGAAAGGTAGGATTTTTGAATCTTCTCCCTCACATTCGCATCATTTCTACATCAAACGTGTTGACATCGACTGGACGCCGCATGCGGTATGGTTGTTGCGGAACGATCTTCGTATGCGTCCCACGCACTTCTGGTAAACCATGCCGCCGCAACATGGCCATGTGCAGACAGACACATACATACCCACCGATACCTGCCTGATCCGGCCGGTGACATCGCTCCCAAAACTGCCCACCACGTCCTACGCAGGAGCCACCGGCTCAAAGCTCCCGTCAACCTTCCCTACTTTCGACACCCACGTATCCTACTCTCATCTCTGGTCCGTTTCCTGTCTCTCATTCACCCCGGCCCGTCCTTCCTCCTTCTTCTCCTCGACCTCCTCGACCTCCTCGACCTCCTCGCCGCCGTCCCCGTCGCCGTCGTTCCCCCCATCTTCCTCCTCAACGACGTCGGCGGGCGTGTCAGGCGACGGTTGCGAGAACCGCCTCGTCGAAGCTGGCCCCGGGCCAAGGTTGAGCCCGGCCCCGACGGCAGAAGAAGGGCGATGAAGCGGAGGCAGATTCTCCGAGGTGTTGTCGTCTGCGTCGAGACCACCACCACCACCATCACCACCGCCGCCACCATCTTGGACAGAGCGCGGCAGGGTCGATGAGTTTGGCGGCGCGAGGGAGGCTGCCGTCCTAGGCATGGGACCGGTGCGCTTGCCGAGAATCATGGCTATTTCGGCGCGCTGTGCCTTGGCGTCGCAGCTGAAGGCGAATCCGCCCGAAGAGCACAACGGGGACAACTGTGGTCTGCTTTCGTTGGTGGTGGTGGCGGCTGTCTTGTTCGACGCGAGACCCGTCCCGTTGGTCGTTGTCGTTACTGCTGCGGACATGCTCGATCGCCGGCGCCCTTCGGCAGCACACAGATCACCACCCCCGCTGCTGCGCCGTGCGTCACTAACGCCGGCGACGCGGCTCAGGCGTCGATACATGCCCGACGGCGAGAAGACAGGAACAGCGGAGGATTTTCCGGACGCACCGCGCTCACTGTTCCTCCGGCGCTGTAGGTTGTCAGGGACCGCCGTGGGAGGGAGAGGCGCCCCCTCGTCCACGTCGACGAAGTAGGATGCCTTCCTCATGAGCTTAGAGGCCTCGCGTGGGTCGCACCCGGCCCGCCCTCCCGCGTGTAGCAGCTGCCTGCTCTTCGTCCGGACCAACGCTTCGCGGCGAGGGGCTGGGCTGCAGTCGTCGTTGTCTTCCTGTGCGTTCGATACTCCCTCTGCTCCTGCTGCCGAAATTCCTCCGGCAAACGGGTCCCACTCCTCATCGTCACCGTCACCATCCGCCGTGACCCCTCTGTCATGGCCCCCCTTGTCCCTAGCCGCGGCACCGAATCCTATAGTTCGGGAAAAACCACCGCCGCCACCGTCACGGCGGTAAGCGTCGGCTGCGGTGGAGCTGACACCGCGGGCGTGCCGGCCGCCGATGGATGGCATCGTGACGCTGAAAGGATTTCTTGCGGTGAAGTTGTGGTTCGCAATACCACCGCCGGCGTTGGCGTTTCGGATGTCCCGGCGTTCTCGCAACGTTTCGGAGAGGGCGTTGATAGGGACGGGAGCAAAGGCGATGGAGCCGCTGCCGGCATGCCCCGCTGGGGAGAAGGTCTCCTCGAGAAGGGCTCGGACGCTGACGTCGTCGTCAAGGAGTGATCTGACGCCGCTTCTTCCTGGCCTGTGGCGGCGACGACCTTGCTCATCCGATGGTGGGTCGGGCTGCTCCTGTTGTCCGGTGGTGTTGCTGCGGCGGTGCTTGTGGCGGTGGAACAGGCTGGCGTAGATCGCGGATTGCCTGCGACGATCCCTTTCCCCGGTCTCACCGGGACTATGGTGACCGCCGACGGCGGCAGCGTTTCCGCTAGAGACAGCGTCCGGTGACGGTGTGTGTTCGGACGGGGTTGTCGGTGTCTGTTCGGTGGAGTGGGTCGTGTGGAGCGTAGGGAAGAAAGATAAGGCTGGTGGCAAACAAACAATCAGATTCCACGGACCGGCATCCCAGGCCCTCGCCGCCCACGCAGATGAAAAGCTGAAATCATCCGAAAAAATCCGGTCGTTCAGGATTGCCACAATGAAATATAAACGCTGCTAAGAGTTAGTGCAGACCTGCGCACGACGTGCGCATGCTAGTAGAAGGACAGAAGAGATGTAAACTAACCCCGACAACTGCCTCCTGCTTCCAACTCGTACGAAAATGCCTTGGCCACCAACCTCAGAATCGCCGTGTGCCCCTCCTTTTCCGGCTCCGCCGGCCGAGGTTCCCTGTCCATCGGAGTTATTGCTCCTGCCCTGCTCTGGCACGGCCTTCTCGCGCTCGTTCATTGCACGCTTGTCCGACTCGAGCATGAGGTGGTGCAAACGAGGACGCCACCAGCGATGATGGAACTTGCTCGCCCAGTCTCTGGCAAGTGGGGTTTGGCGAGAGAAACGGAATGACACACGCGGGCACGCACGCAACCACGCAACCACGCACGCGGGTGGTGGTGGTGGCGATTACGGAGGGTGGCGGTGTTCTTCAGACGACCGGAGGACCTTGAGTGTCCCTTTAAGATCTGCCAAGACCACATCGGTGGTGGTTGTTCCGACCAGCGTACACGGAGGGGACTGGGGTAATGCGTTCGTTCTGCTGCCCGTCACAGTACAGCACCAAGGCCAGCAACTTGAGGGACGACCGGTCGCCTGAAGGTGTCTGGTTCCTTGGTTGCTACAGTACCACCAAGACCATGAAGGCCCGGGCTACCATCCACTCACCAAAGCTGAGCTCGGACCTAGCATGGCGACAACGTCGTCAAAGCTCTCGTACACATGAGAATTCCAGGGAAGGGGCGAAGCTTACGTACGCACGAGGAGAAGTGGCGACTACGTAAACGCTACGCCTACACGTTTCGCGGAACGTTTCATGGAACGGTTCCAGAGGAGTGAAACGCCTTCTGCCACGCCCGTACCTTCCCACAACAACCACGAGGCACCAGATCATGACAGCCCAATACGGCTTGCTCTGGAGCAAGGCATAGAACACCCCGTGGTAGTCCCAGTTTATTGGCACCCAAGCGTTGACCTGCCAAACTCAAAACGGGGCACAGGAGCGGACGACAAAGCCGGTGGGAGGAGCGAATGGGTGGGATCGTCAGGGTATATCCCAGGCGTTATCACTCGCCAACGACGTCGAGAGGCCAGCCCTGCCTCGGGGGCATCAACTGTTCACTAACTCAGATTCCGGTGTGATGGGGTGTTTTTTTTCGCAGAGTCCATTGTGTCACGCTTGAAAGCTAGGTGTTGGCCGACGTCAAAGACAGGGCTTTGAGGGATCGCATTCAGTCTGTCACGGGCTGAGGTTGTTTCTGCTTATTGCTAGCGTACACACGCAGCTCGCGCGTGGGTGGTATCTAGCAAAGCAATCAGCAACAACATTGTCTGTCGCGAGGGCTCATCTCGTACTTGTTGTTGAGGGAGAGGGGTATGGATTGGGTTCGACGGGGAGCGAGACGGGGGCCGTCTACGGTGACAAGGACGCCGGCCCAGTGAGATAACTCGGGAGACATTGTTGTTTTATCGCCTGAAAAACCGGTTGGCCAGTACCACTTCCTAACATCCGTACGGACCCAACTGACCCGAACACCTTCCGCGGTCACAAGTCAACTGCTCCCCCAAAAGATACACGACACGACAAATCAACGAGAAGCTCACAAGGACCCCGAAGACCCACGCGTGTCCAGTATGATTTTCTTAGTCAATTGAATATGGAGCTCCACATTTAACCCTATCGTACGAACGGGTGGATAGACCAACAAGGGGTCAGATCAATCCAAACGTTGTCAACAGGCCGTGTTACTAGAACTTTCACGGTTAACTCAATGCCAGCGACGGGCATGGGGTAGAGACCACCCGACTAAAACTCGACCGGCACCGTACCGGCTTGCCATTCGTCGACGGCCTCTCGAATTCACTCACCAAGAAGGAAGACAAAAAGAAGGCGTAGATAGAGACCATCATGACCAGCACGTGGATGCGGGTCCACCGGTATTGCACCCAGAACATCTGGGTCGAAGGAATTCACACAATGGGATGATTATGAAACCGATCGGCGTGTGTGCTTGTCAGCCGTTTTGTTCGAATTTCTGTCCAATCGTGTGTATCACTTGTGACGGAGTGTTTTTTTTGTTTCTCGCGATGGGGTTTGAGATCAGGCCAGGTTATTCGAGGACAAAGGCAGTTTCTCCGATGGACATCCACCTTTGGGACAACCATGCCTTCGACACCTGAAAAAATACACTCAAGAATATTGTGTTGCACGCCTACACGTCCACAAACAGCGAGAGACCCGTGAATCAGGAGTCCACCGGGTCATGACAACATTGCCGCACCAACCGCAATAGAGAGAATACCGTACAAGAACGAATCCATGGTCTAAGACTGCTCTATAATTGAGAAACAATCGTAAACGGATGAAGGGTGGGGTTGGTATCACGTATGGTAAGAATAGGGGTAGAGATAGGAACGGGACGATAGTCTGTCTGGTGTAGACGACACGAAATACACGACCGAGTTGACCCAAGTAGTTCCTGGCCGCCTGAATGCAAACGATCTGCACTACAGGTGTATTTGGCTCATCGTACGCGGGCAACGACGCACTTTGAGGGTAACTTGAATCACGACGAGTGAGAACGTCAGCGTGCCGTAGTCGTAGGTGGAAGTGACGACGCCCATCTCTCTCGTGTCCCCGCTCAGGAGAAGCACGGGGGCAATAGTAAGAAAGGCGCTCTCGAGAACAGCCTAATTACGACGACGCCGTGGGGGGAGGGGGGGGCAGACGGTGGTTTCGAAGGAGGGAAGGGGATGAGCGACCCGAGACGGGTATTGATAACGTTTCAGAATCTGCTGCAGAATTTCCAACAACGAGCAAACCTCATATCCCTACACGCCTGGGAAAAGCACGTCGGGGGTTCGCCGATCAGATAGCCGATCGAGCGGTGTCTGAGGTGCGCCCTCTCTCCCGATAACGGTTTGCAGATGGCATTGACAAGGGACCGGGGCGGGAGGTCTTATCCGATCGATATAGTGCGTGTTTGACGTGCGCGCCGCCCGTTGACGGAATACAACATGGCCAACCTCTGACGAAACGAAATCAGGATACTGCGTGGAGATGGCTAATTTAGGTTCTGTATGTGTGAACTACTGTAGTCGCGTATCTGGTGTTTATTCCTGCGAATCGGTATGGAGAGCCTTACACCATAGTGTTCGTCATCAGGATATGTTGAAGTCGCAAACAGCAATCCGCGCGAAAGAACACTGCAAGAACACCAAATGGACAACCACTAATATCTCTGAAACCGACTCTCGCCTGCAACATCCAAGACCAGAAGATCATCGGCCTCATGCAGCGATCCGTGATGCCGTAGGCGTACAGTTGGGGGTACCTGCATTCGGCGCAGGATGAAACAACTGAAAGTTTCTTGAACCAGTTTTTGGTGTTGAAACCCGACTCACGTGAAGTGGGCAATGTTGTGCGCAATGTAGGTGATACGCGGGTCCCGGGGCCCGTTGTAATGATGCTCGAGGAAAGACGGCGGCGTGTCCATGCCATGTGGACAGGTGAGATGAGTTCCACACGAACCAGCCCAACTAGAGGAAGTTACCACACCTTTTCGGTACCAGTTGTGTGGACTACAAGGTATCCCCCCCCGCGTCATCGACCAGCGGAGCCTTGGACTACAGCGGCTTGATTGTTGTGTTGAAGATGAAGAGGTGCCCGCCGCATGGTCTTCCCCCTTTTTGACTACAGCCGAGGAACTAAGTTCGGCGTCCGACAGAAACACTCCCCCCGTAGATCACCCGGTTGAATATGACGGCAAGAACTATCGTTTCCCTCATCAGCGGACACATCAACTTTTCGTATCATTGCCATGCCCCGGATTAAGCCCCTTTGCTTGGCACCGCCAGGCAAGAACAACTCAAGCGCCAATATAGTGTGTTGTTGATGCCTCCGCTTGGTTGCGTTGTTACTCGCTCACCGCAGGCAGGTCTCAGCGGAAATGTCTCGGTCGTAGGTGCCGTACAGTAGGATGGGCAGGGCAGTGAACACGATCGCGTACATGTTGCAGGTCACGTAGTCGTAAAACAACGTTCCACTTGCCAAGCGAACGAAACCGATCAGACCGCGAAAGCAACAAACAAACGAACATTTCAGTATTTCCGATGTCGGGTTGAGAAGGATGTGTTTGTCCCATCTGCACTTTGCAGAGTTGTACATCTACACGTCGGTACGCGGGTCACTCAATTGTAGAACAGCGTGCTATCGGGACGGAGAGGACATAAAGGTGTTGTCCTCTCGATGCATTGCTGGTAGTGCTGTCGCAGTTTAGGAGAAAATCTCTTGAGCGGTATGTCTCCGGATTTCGCTTCGTCGTTCTCGGCCTGTACCAATAGTTCGAACTAATTATGTTGGTCTATCCATCCCACGTCTGATACGTATCATCTATGTGCTGTATGCACCTCTTCTCCTTCCGAGAAGAATACTCTCTTGATCACCTGAAACCGTTGGTGTACGCGTAAAAGATGAGGGGACAAGCGAACATGACCGACTTGTAGAAGAGGTAGCACACAACGCGGCTGGAACGCCGGTAGTTCCACCTGTGTCATACATCGGATCGACGTGAACGAACCCCGGAGCGCATATGGCATTAATGACGAATGCAATATTCTGGGCCAACAGCTAGTAGACATTGGTATCGTTCCGCATTCAAACGACAGTGTTCACAACAGGTTGCGAGGAACGTCTTCTTTGCAGCTATGAAGGGTCACCACATGAACATGTTGCAGAGCATGCATGTTTCGCTAGGATTGACTCGGAATCGATTTGGCACACCACGCGTAAGCGGTGGCAGATCTGGCTGTTTCTGGTTGCTGTCGACATCGTCTTCGAAAAGGCGTAACAAGAGGAAGTTCTCAGACTGCGAGTACAAACAAATTACGAGACAAGCAAAGCATATTTGACCCCGCCCCTCCCCCCCCCCCGACCGTAGAGAGAGTTTTCTCCCACCCACCGGCCGTGCACCAGGAGCAGCTTTCTCAGGTAGGCGAACTGCGCGATGGCGTAGTCTGAGGAGTTCACGGCCTGTGCATGAAAACATGTCCAGAAGAAGGCCGCACGCATGGATGCATGGTTTGTGCGCGGGAGAACACCGCACCTCGCGAGCCACTCTCATGATCGAGTGTGCGGTAGTGCCCAGGTTTCATGATGGCAGGAACTTGTCACATGGATCGTTCTCGTAATTTGTCATGCAATATTGTGTACTTCAATTTGGACACCGTTCAGTATCGTTCTGGACCGCGCACCAGCCAGGGTCAGACAGGAGGAGGATAGGAGTTCATGTTCTGTGCACGTTTCCTTACGGTACTTTGCGCTTTACATAGAGAAGGACGATACAACCATTTTGCGCCTCGTACTCGTCCACCGTGAAGTCGAACCTTGTGAACGACAAACAAATTCATTCCCAGCACGTATGTTGAGCAAACACAAGGAAAAACTCCCAGCTCGAGCGCTGAGATTCGAACTCACACCCTGCGCATACCCAAATTTACGCGCGAGGCTATTAACCATTGGGGCGAACACCAATGGTTTGTTGTACCTCTATTTGCTAAACGAATGCGATGAGTTCCGAGTTGGTTCTAGGGCAATCGCCAAGCCCAGTTATCTATGACGACGGTGGAAGTACCAGGAAATAAGACGACAGTTCGGTACGGGAAATTTGGTGTCATTGCTACCGCCTGTCTGTATCACGTGCGTGAAGTCGAGAGTTTTGCCAGTGGCACCATCTCGTTGAACTATATCACCTGCATTCCCTCTTGTCCACTGATGCCCACGCCGATGTGAGCCCTCTGAATCATGGGCACGTCGTTTGCCCCATCCCCTGGAGAAAAGGCCACCGACACGAATACGAACCAGAGCTACGGTTACACTACGGTTACAGTTGCCAAGTGTTGTATATATGTGTCGTCACAAGAATGGGGGTGGTCAGGGTGCACATCGATGTAGACATTTCGTGACGTCAGGTAATAACGGAGTGTACCCGCGTTGTACAGGCGAGCACCGAAGGGGTTACAGTTCGTTCCAAACTTCAACAATATATCACTTCCCCCTGGTCCTCGACAACAAGGTGTGGGCGCCGCACTTGGAGATACGTTCACCAGAGAACGTGGGCATGATCTGCTGATGAGGCTCTCCCTCCAACGAGCACCCTCTAAGGTATACATGCACCTTCCGCGGCAAATTCAAGTGTGCATCGTAACAAAATTGCACGTTTGATGTACTTCGGGGCACGGCAGGGAGTACTTCATGCCCTGGGGCGCGGAATGGAGTCGGGAAATCCCGACATTCATGATCATATGCTCAGGCGCGGTGTGGCGACGTTCGAGAGTGGTCACCAAGACTGTGCCGGTGCTCTCGATTGAGAGAGTGTTGGTGAAGCATTGCCGTACTTGTATCTTGTCGCAGAATGCATCTCATAACCACACACGACGCATTCTGTGCTGGCAATGCAGCAAAAACAAGGACAACGAAAACGACAACGGTGACGTTCTCAAGGCGAAAGTAAGCTCACCTATGGAGAGCGTTCGAGTTCCCGGAACGTTCTCACGAACGAGAGCCACAAGAGCTCGTTTTTGATCCGGCGAAAGCCGACACCCAATGACGCTGTGGCAAGTCTGACGTTGGATCGAATAGCAACGAAATATGGACTTGATGAGACTCAGCCTAGTCACGAACATATCGCAGCCGTCAGCCGCAATGGATGGTGCCGAGCAGAGTGAGACTCGAAAAAATCCTTGCGCCTCGCTAAGGATTGTTTTGGACCCTTTCAAATTTTCTAAGGTTGCAAACGGTGTCGGAGACACAATCGATATCCAGTTTCGGGAAGGAGAAAAGCGGGGGTTTGGAAGCAAAACTACGGCCTGGTTGGACCGGTCCCAAGGCCGTTCCGGTATCGCTGGGGCAAAGCGCTCCTTCTGCGAGATAAGTGTAGTGAGCAATTTTGTGAAAAATGGGGCTTTTGATGCTGGATGAACCGAATATTCACATATCGACATCCATCCATCGCTGGGGTGAAATGAGTCGTGCAATGGCGTGAAAGCAGCCAACTATACGGCCATCTTCCGATGCGTAGACATGGTTGCGAACAGTAGGTACGGGATCAAAATTGTTTGTCATTGCGGTTGTTTGTGGTGGTGATACTGCTACATCAGTGTTGATGGGGGCTTTGTACCTGAGCCGCCCGCAATAACGCCCCCTGGGAATCGGGTGTCTGCATGGCCTCGAGGAGGGCAGGTCCATCGATGATCAGCCCACGAGGGAGTGGGGGTGCGACCTTGCCAGTATCGTCTGCCTCGAACCGATTCCTTTCCTCAACGTACATCGACAAGAAGTCTATGAAAACAATGGAGGCGGGGGGAGAGCGGTGTATTGATGACCTGCTGTATTCCGCAATCTGGCGAAAGGTCTGGCATTCATGTGATGCCAGGACAAAGTATATCTAGTTTACATTGGCCCTGCCCACGTATCGCCGAGCGCGAAGCAGCGTGAGGTGGTGCGCTACATGTAGTAAAAAACGCGAGCTTCATTCTACGGGCGATTAACAGAGTTGTGGTTTGAGTCGACCTCCGACGACTTGAAATGTAGTCTCCTCAAGGGGGGGGGGGGGGGCT